TTCTAATCATTTTATTAGGGGCTCATACAACTCTTATCACAATCCATACATACATCAATTGTGTAAAGCACATTTGTACATTCATTGCCCTTGTCATGTCTTTTATCCCATGGAGTCCTGAATGGGTTTGAGCCACCAACCTTTAGCTAGCAGCTGAGCATTTAACTTTGGCTTCACCAGGTGGGTTTCTTATGACAGGTAACTGTATTTAAAATGAGCAATTTTTATCATTACTAATAGTTTATGTGTCCATATACATCTACATATATGAAGGGACTTCAAAATATTTGTAGAAAAAATGCATTATCTTTTCATTCTATTTTTCCATAAACTCTTTGCAGTTTCCTTGCATAACACCATATACATGGGCATAGATATAAATAGTATAAGGACAGTTATTGGCTGCTTTAATCTTCCATCTGGAAAATGCTTGTTTGGTTATACTTTGCCATCAGCAAAAATCCCTATATTACTGACACTATTTCCCATGTGGTCAAACCAGCACAAATTAAAAAGCTCTGAGATGAAATTGCTATGTAATAACATTCAGAGATAGCACTTACTTGCCAGTAGTACCTAAGCTGGCTTAGCCATTCGAAGTCAGAATCGTCACTGACTCTCTTCTTCACGAGTGACGTAAGGACGTCTCTAGCGTGGACATCGAGCACCACGAGGGCACCCAGAGTAACACGATTCTGCTTGGACAGTTTGCCACGGACCAAGGTGACGATATCATCAATCTGTTCGTTACATGTCTTTAAGTAATCCTCCAGAGCCTGGAAGAAAATAAAGGGAGATCAGAAACATTTTTGAACGGAAACATTTTGAACCAGTGTATATGGATATATCATTCTCCACATTTGTATCCTCATTTTCCATGACATACGTGTAAGATAATTTATACTACAAAGGTGTTATATACACAAGCCCAATCTGTCCATTTGTGGTGGACGTGTGGGGCTTGAGTCGACCCACTTCCTTTGGAGAACCCAGTGTATGCGGTTCTCATGGCGTTGCCAACCATGCTTTCCTGTCTCCATGGAAACATGAAGGCGAAGCTGGGTGTCTCGGCCATAGCTAAGCATCGCTCTTCCAGGAATGGTACACAGACTTTGAAGGCAGTGCTTCTCGCCAGGCCCGGTTGACTGTGCCTACGCCACCCAAAGCGACTGCGCGGCTTCATCATCCCCACAAAGTCTGTCCGGGACGGGTAGCGATGAAGACAGACCACAAAGGAGAGGCTGTGGCAGGGCTGACTCCCGGGGTTCTATCCCAGCGGCTCTTCTTCTGCTCCCTAGTCCTCCAGGTACGCTTTGTGAAAGCTTCCAAAGTTGGCTTGAGCCACGTGAAATGCGACGATCTTAATACACAAAACATGGAACGTGTTAGTAGGTCTGGCGAGCTGATGCCAATTCTGAGCACAAGGTTTACTTTGGGAGGTCTCTTTCATAGTGGGCGAATCTAATGAGTTAGTTTAAAATAGAAGAGGGTTTATGGTTAAAAAAGGAAATAAGAATCTACAAAGTACATGCTGTGCTTGAGGGAAGTGTCGACACAGCCCACGAGGCTGATGCAGTTGTTCCCTTCATCCTGTAATATTTAATCATGTTATTTAGCTATTATTATTTAATGACTAGCATTCACACAATAGTTAAGCTCCCCCAAAGGCTGTGTCTAGAGGAGTTTACTCCCCTCAGGCAGGGCCAAGAAAGTGGTAACAATGAAATTCAATGGTCAGACTTCCAAAGATTAGGGGAAAATTTAACAAGACGGAGTTGAGGGCCACAAGCTGTTTCGCTGCAGGCATTTTCCTTATTCCTTGAAATATCTTATCTTTTACAAAATTATTATTTAAAGAAAGCACAGCTTTCCAAGGTTTGGTGCTTGAGCACTTTTTCATTTGTATAATTTCCAGGATTAATAAAGTAGGTTAAATGTATAAATTAATAAAAACAGCTGATTCTAGGAGCACCAGCAGTGTGAAATAAGGCATCTTATTTCTGCATCTGAAACAAAGGGTCTGCCAAAGCCTTGGTTCTTAGACTGGGTCTCACATGCTATAGCTCAGCACAAGACATAACATACAGATGTAACGTTTGGACCTTACAGCAACATGAAAACAATCCCTCTGAACAAGGGGACCAGACAAGGATGCCCTTTGTCCCCAATCCTATTTAACATCGTAGTGGAGGTCCTAGCTAACAACGTAAGGCAAAGAAAAGACATCAAAGGTATTCATCTGGAGAAGGAAGAAGTGAAACTATCGTTATTCACAGATGATATTATTTTATATGTGGAAAATCCCAAAAGCTTTACAAGGGGAGTGCTGATGAACGGATTAAAAAACTGTGGTACATACATACAACGGAGTACTATGCATCCCTAAAACGCAGTGATGAACGCATGAAGCACATCACCACATGGGAAGATCTGGAGGAAATTATGCTGAGTGAAGTAAGCCAAGGGCAAAAGAACAAGTACAACATGAGTCCACTGAGGTAAGCTTAAAAATGCAAAAGGGGCACAGGGAAGGATAATGTCTACATACATTCCTGAGGTGAGGTCCAGGTACTATGGCAGAGGCTAGACCCAATCCAGGGATACATGTGGTAGCCAACTTACAAGGAGGAGAAAAGAGAGAGAGACAGAGAGAGATGGGTAGCTGGGAAACAGGACACTAACCCACCCAAGGGGAGGGTAATGTTTTTTGCCTCCACAGGAGGGGGAGCGAGGGGCCAGATTTCACCCCGGTGCACCAAGACACGAAAGCATTACACTGGCATGGAGCAGCAAACCAACAGAACGGTCTGTGGAATTTGGCTCCAATCCCCACTATGTGGATCCCTCATGCCAGACACCCCCCTCCCCAGAAGAATGCACTTTAGAGGGCAGTACTGAAGCTTCAGCTCAGGAAGAGGGGGGCTTCTGATCAGGAGCAAATGAAGAGGGGAGGAGAGAGATCGGAACACAACCTCGCCCACCAAGCCCCAAGGATGATATTCTGTCTCAGAGCAGCCACTGCACAGAGAGAACTATAAGGCCCCACCAGGAGACATGACATCCCTCACTGACCCATAGCGCTACGGGGGACAACACTGGAGACACAGTGTGGGAATAGTGTCCAATCTGACCCCACCACATCAGGGCAAACCACTAAAGGTGTGCAACAGAGCACCACGGGGAGCAAAGCAACAAAGTCCCCAAGGAGTACCAAAAATAGACTTTGGGACCAGGGCATGGCACTCCATCACACTTGACCGGTAAATACTCCTAAAGGTCAACAGACAGACCTGGAACTATTCATAGGCTTTTCTTTCTTTGCCGTTGGTTTTGTTGTTGTTGTTGTTGTTGTTGTAGCTGTTTTGATTTTTTATTTCTTTTGTTGTTATGTTTTGCTTTGTCTTGTTTGGGGGCTCATTATTGTTGCTGCATGCCTATCTAGATAAGATGGGCAGGATAAACAATCCAGAGGAGAAAACAATGGACTGATGGTTTGGGTGGGGGGACATGGGAGAGGGGGAGGCAGGGGAAAGGAAAGGAGTACCAACAAACACAGGGACAAGGACAACAAGTGATCTAAAATCTATGGAGAGGAGGGCATAGGATGCCTGGTGGGGCTTGATCAAGGGCAATGTAGCTGAGAGAAATACTGAAGCCTGAATGAAGGCCAAACATGATAGGGGGACAAGAAGGGTGTGAAAGTAAATAGACGAAAGAACTAGGAGGCAAAGGACATTTACAGCGGTTTAAATATAGGCATATACATCTGTAAATACATTTATATATAGTGACAGGGAAACAGATCTATGCACATATATTTATTTGTTAAGTAGTAAGGCAGCAGACGAACATTGGGCCTCCATTCAAGTACTCCCTTAATGCAAGAATAGTTTGTTCTAATAACCCAATATTCTGGGATGCTCACCTTCCCTGACCTCATCATTGAAGACAAAATGGGTGCATAAGCAAATATGGTGAAGAAAGCTGAGGGTGCCTGGCTATCAAAATATATAGCATCTGGGGTCTTAAAAGCTTGAAGATAAATAAGCAGCCAACTAGCTGAGAAGCAACAAAGCCCACATGGAAGAAGCACACCAGCCTTTGTGATCATGAGGTGTCCAAGGGATCAGGTATCAGGCATCAAAGACCCAAAACAAAAAGTCATATAAATGGAAATGAGGGGGAGGGCAGAGTGGAGGCCCAAAGCCCATCTGTAGACCATTGGACATCCCCTTATAGAAGGGACACAAGGAAAAGACAAGCCAGTCAGGGTGCAGCATAGCACCAATGAAAAATACAACTTTCCTCCAGTTCTTTAATGCTTCCTTACCCTCACCCCCCTACTGCCCCCACTGTCATGACCCCATTTCTACCTTACAAATCCAGCTAGATCAGAGCATGCAACTGGTACAGATAAGAGGTGGAAACACAGGGAATCCAGGACAGATAACCCCTCAGGATCAATGGCGAGAGTAGTGATACCAGGAGGGGAAGGGGAAGGTGGGGAGAGAAAGGGGGAACCGATCACAATGATCAACATATAATCCCTCCCCCAGGGGGATGGACAACAGAAAAGTGGGTGATGGGAAACAGTGGTTGGTATGAGACATGAAAAACAAATTATAAATTATTAAGGGCTCATGGGGGAGGGAGGGTGGGAGAGGGGGGAAATGAGCTGAAACCTAGGGCTTAAGTAGAAAGAAAATGTTTTGAAAATTATGATGGCAACATAGGAACAAATGTGCTTGACACAATGTATAGATGTATGTATTGTGATAAGAGCTGTAAGAGCCCCCAATAAAATGTTTAAAAATTAAAGAATTCATTGCTGATTATACTAGCACAATGCGTTTTTATACTCTAGGAAATGGATTTAAAATTGAAATTCAACATCACACCATGATGAACTGAGCTCTTTAGGAACTATGCTGCAGGAATCCCTGAGAATTACGACACCTTAAATTGAAAGGAAATAAATCACAACACTGAAAGTATTTTTGCGACGTTATATTCTCTGTATAAACTTCTTTTAAACAATTCGCTGAACGAAACATCCAGAAAAGGCTGAACTATTCCATAATTCTAAACTGTGAACTAGTGTTTTCTTTTGTTTCATTTTCAGCAAAATAAAATCTACCTGGAATCAAATATTTTTTATCCATCTAGATTCTTCTACAGACACAATAATACTCTGATTCATGACTGCATTCATATTTATTATACCCTAAGCTCTGTGACAGTGGTGAGCCCTTCATTAATTTTATAGCCCCTGTAGTGCCTGGATTAAGAGAAGAGGACTACATGGTTGTAATGGAGGGGTAGAGGCTTGATAAACAACAACTGTAAAACAGAGAGAGAGAGAGAGAATGACTACACTGAGAATTCTGGAAATTCTTGGACATCAAATGAACAAATCTGGGAGGTGCTAACGATCTGAAGGATTCATTCACATTTGTTACTTTGTTCCCTCCAGACAATACCTACCACTTCCCAGCAATAAAGTTGGTATGATGGCCTGGGGGCCAATAAGCCAGGAGGAAGATCATCCTAGGAGAGATTTCTCAGCAGCCCACCTAGGTGATAGAGGAACGCCTCTGGAGAGAAAAGTTAGTACCCGGTAGCAAGATGAATTTTCAGGAAGCACTGAGAAGGAATGAAAGATGCTGGCGGGAGAAACAGCTAGGGTTTACAAATAAGCCCAGGGACCTCCTCCTTATGTGGAAACTCCAGTGCTGTGGGTCCTAAGGAGAGACCTTCCGAACAACAGAGCCGCAGGTGACTTCCCGCCCTACCCTTTCATGACCTGCTTCAGAGAATAAATGAGGGAACCCTTGGGATGCTGTAGTGTGGATGTAGGCCTGGGGTCCTATGGGGGGGAGGAGGGGTGTCCCTCCCCACCACCTCCCACACCGTGGGATTGCCTGTCTGGGAGTGCAAGTGCTGTGCTCAATCCCCAACACTGACCAGCATTCAACAATCCCTTAGAATTAAGGAACATAATACTTGAATTTCATGTCAAAAATATATCAGACGCTCGTGGTTTTAAACTAATATCTATCATTTCTAGTTTCCAACGCGCCCATCAGTGAACCGGAAGTTGGCCAGCTTGAAAATTCTAGTTCAAGGATAGGGCTACTGCATCAAATATAATCTCTACTTATAAATAATGGCAGAAAGAATAAAATTAATAACAATATTAAATTCAAATGTCCAAATATGTTAGAATACTTGATCTTAAATATTTAAGGTTCGAAGCAATATTAGAAATTTTTGCTTGTTCTAAGTCAATACATTTAAAATGTGGATAGTCGATATACATCAAATGACACCTTGTCTTCATAGGGCAGTTTACTGGACACTGAATAGAATTATGTCACTTTATGTCCTTGCCCTGGAAAACTCAAGAAGTTTTTTATCCTATTTATTTTTAAAGGTATAAAAATATATAGAATAACATACATACTAATAAGATGAAATTCATGCACTACTGACTTCTACCTACGGCAAATAAACAGACGGTATAAACATACATTTCAAATAGCTGTTTCTATTGCTTCTATTATATATTTGTTATGTGAAATTTTCATTTTTAAAATCTGTAATATGGATTGAAGGATTAAAGTAGATTTTTGAGAGGGCAGTTCATTTTATAGAATAAGCACATTCTGGCAATGATACCATTAGGAAAAAATGCTGAGAAACAGATATTAAAATGTTACCTCTTGCCCCTTTGGAATAGCTGTTTGTACTTCTAACGTCCAGAAGATTTGGGATACACACAGAACAGTCTGTCCTGGCCAATCTCTTACCCAATTAATCCGGGCATTTTTCAGATAGGCAAACATTGCATCTCCAATTACCTAATTGGAAAAGAAAATTCTGAAGATGAATGATTTCATAATGTACTTGAACAAAGTTATACAATGAAGAGCTAAAACCCTACACACACACGATATTTTATATGCACACAGAAGAGTATTCCCCATAGATGTGTACATGCCAAGGAAATGGATTTGAAGTCACGGAAAGAAGCTTCCAGAGCCAGACTCAGGAAAGGCCGTGTTGGCTAACGGCATGTCTAGTCACGAAAGCACTAGTATGTTGCAGGAAGAATGAGACAGTCACACGATCAAAGCCCACGGTTTCAGTAGTACTGAATGTACTGTGTCCATTTTTCAAATTCCTACCATGGACAAGTCCCACTGTTGCCTTCCAGCTACGTACGCCATTGAATTAGTAACACATGCCTCAATTTCTATATAAATAACTGCTCATCGACCAATGACATATTGATAATCATGTTTTACTTAAAATATATATATATATATACATATATATATATAAGGGCTACCTTGTGGATGGATTTAATCATAACTCTCTCCAACTCAACCAGCCACTTCTCCACTTGACCTCTGGCTTTGGCTGTTGAAATGGTCTCGATGAGCTCCACCACCTCCCCTTCGCTACTCTTCATGTGCGTAATGTCCAGCGTGTCCGTGAACTCCACCTTTGCAATGCCTTCAAAACATTTCTTCAGGTGAGGTTGTACCCTGTCGAGGAAGGAGGAAGAAGAGAAAGAGAGCATTACCCAAAGGGCAACACACCATAAATGAAGTTTGTGCCCAGACTTCATTCAAGTTGTAAACACGGGCTATGTGCTCAGACCTAGATGCTACTAGGGTGCAGTGTTAAATAGCGGAAGAGTTTGCCTCAGCTTGGAGGATAGCACAGTCATGGAATAAATACAAAAGATCCGTAAAGTTACAATAACTACATTAAATATTGATGGGGAGAGGCCTTTGAACCAACACAATAAACTAGAGACATTAAAAGTAGCATGAAAAGCAAGCCAAAATTTTGATGAACAAATAATACACTCATCTGACAAGCTGCAAAAACCCCAAGACCGTTTCCACTGGTATATTCAGAGATGGCTTGCAAATTATTAACTTGATTTAGCACTTTAAGTACTTTACGGTTTACAAAATCAACTGCTTTGAAGACACCCAACTTTCAGCTTATTCAATGTACTATAAGACAGGACTGACTAAACACCTCATATTTGGCACATTACCAATAATCAATTGCATTCATCTTTCAAAAGAACAAAGAGAAGCTCAGTATAAAACTCAGATGGAAACTAATTTGGGCCCAACTTTATCTTTTTGTCTGGATTACTCCATTTCCTTCTACTTATAGGGTACACAAAACACAAAATTTACAGATTTGCCTAAAAAAATTTATTTAGTGCCTACTGTCTATGGGGCATTCTTCTAGATCGGGGCATCGGCTGAGGGGAGCAATCAGACATCTCTGCTATCATAGAGCTTATGTTCTTCTGGAGAAACACAAACAGTGAACAAGGAAAGTATAGCCTAACCACCTGGTAATGATTACACCGTCAGTGGTGGAAAGGAGGAGTCTAGGGAAGAGCTAGGGAGGGAGGGTACGGGCTGCCGGTTCACTAGGGTGGCCACAGAAGGCTTCCCTGAGCGGCCGGCCGCTGTCTGGGCAGGCCTCCGCGAAGACTGGCTGGTAGTTTATGGGGGATGTGGACAGAGAGCCCCCAAGGCAAAGAGCACAGCACATACAAAGATCCCGAGGAGGAAGCTGTCCCTTTTATGGGGAATCCCAAGGGGGCCGTTGGGCAGTAGCAGAGTGAGCAAGTCTCCTTGGTGGACTCAGTGAGATAACAGGGAACCAAAGCCTCCGGACCTCGTGACCTCGTGAGTCGCTGTGAGGGTCTAGATTTCATTCTGAAGGTGATACAGAAGCATAGCATGCTCTGAAAAAATCTAAGAGAATATATGATAACAATAAGAAATCCAGACCAAAGTTCAGCCCATCTAGAAAATGGCAGGCAATGATAGCTCCTACATTTTAATGACAGGCACCCTGGTGACATAGTGGATTACACACTGGGCTGCTAACACAAGGTCAGCAGTTCAAAGCCTCTCCACAGGAGAAAGTTGAGGCTTCTTGTCCCATAAAAATTTAGAGGCTTGGAACCCCAAAGGGGCAGTTCTACTCCACCCTCTAGGGCAGCTATGAATAGGGACCAACTCAGTGGCAATGAGTGCTTTCGTTTTTAACCATAATTTTAAATTTATGATGGAAAATATTCCTAGAGGAAAACTGTTACACAAACCGAATTAGAGATACCTTTTTATGGTCTGCCTTGCTCTACAACTGAATCTAATCACATGCTGTTCCACTCACGGAACTCACCTGGTGGGATCTTTAGTCTCGGATAAGATCTCAAGGAGTTCGTCGTTAGACAAGAAAAAGAATCTGGGGAAGAAGAGACGTTTCTTTTCCAAATATTCATTCAGTCCTTTCAGGATAAGTTCCAAAAGTTCGTTACACTTCTTCAGCTTTTCCAGCATTCTCTCAATATTCACAACGGCCAGAACATGTTTATCCTAACAATGAAGGACACACACTCAACTCAACAATATCGCAGACTCTGATTATATTCACATCATACCTGAGGATGCATGCTCTTAATAAAACCTGGGGTAGGGAAAATCTAAAGTATGTATAAAGCATAGACTTGAAGATCCAGGGTTTGATGAACCTTTTTAAGGGAGTGACAGCCAGGCAGTTTTGCCGCCCCGTGTGCTGCTCCTAATGTCTCATCCTAAGCTGGAGAGTGAGAAACAGGAAAGGAAGGGCCGGGGGATGAGAAAGAAAGACCGTGAGTTGAACTCACAACTCCACATCCGCCTCCTGCCAGTGCATACATGACATTCTACGGGGCTTGGGGGCTGTGAACCTTCACAGGTGCAGAGCCTCACCTGTCTCTTGCAAAGCAGCTGGTGGATTTGAATCACCAGCCTTGGGGTTAGAGTCCAAGGCTTACCTGACAGAGCCCCCAGGGCACCTTCAAGAAGGGTAACGAGAGAACGTGCGTGCACGTGCTTTATTTTCTTTGAGGAATGCCCTAAAGAGATACCACCACTATTTTTAATATATTACCCTATGTCAAGAAAACTACTCTTATTGATAACCTGTTATAAAAGATAAGATATATACTATATCTCCCTCATATCCTTTCCTTCTCTATCAATTATTTTTGAAAATGCATTGTATTTGTTCTTCTATTGAGCACTTCTGTAGCATCAAAACCTTTATTTCTTAATTTATTGACTTCAGACAAGAACGGGATTATCCAGGGTGGTATAACCATAGACAACTGACTGCCTTCTGTTTACACGGTTTTTTGTTTTGTTTTGGTTTTTTATTGAAAAAGTAATACATGCAGATGATTAAACATCCAAACAGTACAAGAATGAAAATCCTTTTCATTTTTTTCTTAGTACAGTCATCTTTTTGAGGCAGGACTGTAATAATGTAATAAATATTCATCTATTTTTTTTTTAAAAGAAGAAGCTGAACAACCAATGGTTACCATGAGTGAAGGAGAAAGAGTTGTTGCTTATGGGGCATTGAGTTTATGTAAATGGTGGTGGAATAATTTAGAAAGAATATCAATAATGATGGTACAACATGAACAGTATAATCAGTGGCACTGAATTATACATATGGAAGTCGTGGAATTGGAGAATGTTTTGTGTATATTTTTGCCACAATTAGAAAAAAATAATGACATGAATAATAATGAGTACAAGGAAGAAGAAAATGTTCCTGAATTGAATGTGGTGACAATTGTAAAACAAAACAAAACAGGAACTGTAGTCACCGTAGCAGCTCTGGTAGCAGTGCTTGGCAGCTAACCAAAAGATCGGTGGTTCGAACCCACCAGCCCTTCTGTGGGAAAGAGGTCACACTGCAGCTTTGGAAATCCTAGAGGACACATCTCTTCTTCAGACGGCGCCGGGATTATCAGAATCAACCTGACAGCAGTGGGTTTGTCTGGGCTGTTTTTTTGTTTGTTTGTTTGTTTGTTTGTTTGTTTGTTTTTGCTTGATCCGTTGGCTTTATATTCGGTATAACAATCTTTGTTGAATGAGATAGGTCTTCTTGGAACATGATAAAGTCCTTGTAGATTTTTTTAAATGTAAGGAATTTGAGGGAAGTAAAGATTTTTCTAAGAAGAGGAAGTATAAAAAGATGCACCCTTGAAATGACATGAGAACACGGTGCTTGCTGGGAGATTTAAGTTCAAGGTAGATGTTCATCCAAACACTCTAGAGACAAAGACTGCTCCATCTTTGAGGAAGGCGGGGATTCCTGAACCTTCGATTAAGTGTCATTGTGTGCAATTTGCTTTAAAGTGAGTCAAACGTAATGAAATTTTTGAGAAAGAACTTTTTTTGTTATGGGATTCAAAAATAAAAATATTTTAACAAAATGCTGATCTTAAGAACACATATTTTAAAAGAATGTAAGTAGCTTCTTGATTTTTCTGAATATCCATAAAAGAAACTGCTAGTTTTATGAAAACTTTTAGAAGTCTATATTAAAGTACAGTTAAAATAAAATTCCTTTTCTTTTAAAACATATGGCTTATGTCATCAGGGTCCACTCTTTGGGCCCAACTGATCTTATGATTTTATTCACAATTCACTACTGACACTGTTGACAAAGTAGAAAAAGGTATTTACTAAACCACAACACATCAGAGTGAGATTTCAATTCTTAGGCCACAAAATATAGTGAGGACATACCGGTCCATTTATTACTCTGAGTAAAGACATTTTAGGAAACTTATGTAAAATTAAGTCAAGAGACAATTGTTAAAAACTTAACATCGAATTTCAGATACACAAATTAAACTCAGGTTTGGTAGTCAGTCCTGACTGAGAGATCAGCCAAGAATGTCAACTGTCCATTATTTCATTCAGGAATTCTGTGCCCTTGCAGCAGTCTCTGAAATATTGTCTGGGCCAAAGAACTTTGTGCTATGAAGGAGAGAGGTCATTTCCCTCTTTATCTTGAATTGTTACAATGTAACTTATAAACACGGAAATTTAGTGAAAGAACACAATGACTGTCATTAATAGTGATAATACCTGTTTCCTTAATAAATATTTCTGATGGAATGTATAACACACAATCATTACATTAGTCATTATATGAAAGGCCACCACCTTATCTTTAAAGATGCACACATTTAAAAAGCCGTTTACTGCACTTTCAAACAATGTTATGCTTCAAATCAACAGTAAAAACAAAACCACAGAAAGATAGCATGGCAGAGACTGGCCATAATTTGAATGCACAAGTAAGTCAGGATGGAGAACTGCACACCTCAAGCCCCAGCACCAGAACGACGTTCTCAGAGCGCCCCCTGCCGGACAAGCACGCTCTCCTTCGTTGACCGATGCTGCGGAATGGGGCTAGCAGGCCTGCAAAAAACGCTCCCTGCCAAAGCACGTATACTTATGTTGCTATTTGGGATCTGAGACTTGATAAGTGAAGGAAAAAAATTCAATCAGTTATTTAAAAGAATAGTTCAAATTCTTTTCACATAATCTGATTAAAAGAAATACCTCGGGCAAAACAGCATTCAGGTAAAATTTTTCAACTTTTAGATCCCTGAGACGAAACAGTTTATTCCGATTAGTGAAAAGACCCTGACCGGAGGGAGCTGAAGGGCGCTCTGAAGCAGGGGGTCTCGCCTTCCTCATGCCGCGACCCTTTCATACAGTTCCTCGTGGGGTGCTGAGCCCCAACCATAACATTATTTTCGTTGCTACTTCAGAACTGTCATGTTGCTACTGTGATGAATCCGCGACCCCTGTGAAAGGGTCGTTCGACCCTCAAAGGGGTCACGACCCACAGGTTGAGAATCGCTGCTCTAGGGTCACTAGGAGTCTGAATGGGTGGCAGTGGGTTTGGTGGTTTGGGGCCTTATAGTCCGCCTGATACACATTTGAATCGTATGTTCATCATTCACGTAGGCAGCAAGATGCTGGCGTAGACAAAGCTACCTCTGATGCAAGCACGTTTCCCAAAATGGCCGCTTCTGCAGTGGAGAAAGACATCTTGGTAACAGGCTGGTTCTTCTGTGAGATTGATCGAGATTCAAGAAAACACTTGACATACTTTTTGTTTCTTAATCATTTTTTGCGGGGCTCAGTGGACCTTTGTTGAATTCTGCAGTGAGCCCGGAGTGAGTTCAGCCTGCAGACATGGAAAGGAAATCCCGGGACTGAAACCCACGACGCTTGAACAAGCTAGTACTGATTAGTTATGTTCCCTGGACGGAACAATATGATTTTATAGCAAGAAGCTGCAAGAAATTAAAAACTTAGTATGATTGCCTTGACACTTTAATTACGTTTGGTCCCTAGAGGGGAAAACAAGGAATTGTTTGCTGTCATATTTCTTGTTAAAGGACCGGTCTGACCTTGTCTAAGTGCCTCCGCCGGCTTCACAAGCATCACCACGCTCCTCGGCGCGCATGGCAAGCGGCGGGCTTATTTACATTTTCAGCCAAGTGTCTATGAAGTCAGGAGGCTGAAACTTTCATCTGCGTGTCTGTTGAGCACATCCTTATTATCGCTGCCGGGAAGCGTCGCAGAACACACAGCTTACTTCATTTAATGGAATGAAGCCCGAGTCGGCTCCGTAAACTTCTAGAAGCATCAACATTCTAATCAGAAATCCCTGGAGAAGACAAAGCTGCTCCCAGACCAGCACACTGCTGTCAAGTTCATTCCAGCTCATAGTGACCACACAGGCCTCTGTAGAACTGCTGGGGTGGGGGGTGGGGGGGTCTTCAAGCCTGTCGATATTACAGAAGCACACTGCTCCATCTTTCTCCTGTGCAGCGGCTCATGAAGTCAGATTGGAACCTATCTGTTAGCAGCCAATGCTTAATCCACTGCGCCATCTGGACTCCAAGAATACTTGCAAACCCCTTACTGACCATTTAAATATTAAGAAAGAAACCCAGGTTGACTGAGCAGGCCACAAAGCCCCTCACAATTGTGAGATTCGTTGGCTCCCACAAGAGGAGTTGCTATTTCACTTAAGACATGGGATGGTTTCAAGAACGAACCCAGATCTCAGGGCCCACTTGCCTAAAATCCAATTTTCAGAGAACATTTTCCAGAATTTACTCACAGTCCTCAGAATTAGCAACAACTTGAGAATCAATCTCTATTTATTTATTCATTCATTCATTCATTCATTCACACAACAGGCACTATTCTGCGGCACAGCACACAAAGGCAGACAAACATCCCAGCCTCCATGAGGACGATAGACAACTAACAATAAACATAACAATTCATAAATGCGTTGTATATCACACCCATTGCCATCAAATCCATTCTGACTTCCAGGGTGTTCTGAGGGAGCCAGCAGGGGCTGGGGGGATTGATCTGCTGACCTTGTGATTAGCAACCCAACGCATAACCCATTATGAGCCCAGGGTCCCTTTAGACGGTGACAGAGGCTCCAAACGTGTCAGGAATGGTGACCATGGTTTCCGCTGGTGCTCAGCGCGAGT